ATATATATATATATATATATATATATATATATATATATATATATATATATATATAAACAATATATATATATATATCATGTTGCTTTCTTGCTAACAGGAATAGGGTGTTTTACTATGACAGGAAGTAAAAAAACTGACATATCTTTTCTGTCCTGTAGATTATCTCTATATATCTGATACAAGGACTAGAGCAATATTTGAGATGAGGAAAAGGGATGCAGGTGGAAGCATTATGATCAGACAAGGAGTCACCGGAATAATGAACCTCAAGGCTTACACAGCTGACCTCCACAGCAGTAAGTTCACACAAAGCGAAGCACTGTAATATTCTGTTAAGAAGCTTAAATAGAATATATTACCAAGAGAGACACCTGTTTACCTTCTATTTGTTCTCACTCCTATAGCCTACAAAAGCCGCTGCAATACAGTACCAAATGGACTCTGCAGTCACTTCTGTTTCCCAACTCCCTCTTTCACCCGGGTGTGTGGCTGTCCATACGGTATGAAACTTGATGCCAATCAGAGGGATTGCATCAAGGACGATTCTGTCCCTCCACCTGAGACCTGTGGAGACTATTCCTTTGAGTGCGATGAAGGACGCTGCAGGCCCAACTCTTACCGCTGCGACGGCATTTTTGACTGTGTAGATAAAACTGATGAGGCCAACTGTACTGACACAGGTAAATTGGGAGCAACTATATGCTACATCTAAATGTGTACTTGAAATAAATAAACTTTAAGCCCCATGCATTCTTACCAGGTGGGACCTGCTCTCCGTATGCTTTCACCTGTGACAACAAGCACTGCATATACTCCAGCTGGCGCTGTGACGGCTTCGACGACTGTGGTGATGGTTCAGATGAAACAGACTGTCCCACTCGTGTCCCGACCACCTGTTCAGCTTCCTACTTCACCTGTGATAATGACAAGTGCATTTCCAAAAACTGGGTGTGTGATGGTGACAATGACTGCGGCGATGGCTCAGACGAGCAAAACTGCGGTATGTTTTTATTTATGCCTAGTTCTGTGATCCTGTAAAAGTTTGCACAATTGTGTATGAAATTTTGGTCTGTTAAATGAAGAGCTTTGTGTTTCTTTAAGGGTCCACCATCAGCTCATGCCCTCCTGGCTTCTTCTTGTGCCCGGACCACCGCTGTCTCAGTAGTTATTATGTGTGTGATGGAGACCAGGACTGCTTGGATGGCTCAGATGAAAAGAACTGTGGTACGCATCTGTTTTTTTAATGTTTTAATTTCAAGAAAAGGTAGCTTCTGGTGTTTCTTAGATTTTCCCTGTCTCACTTCTCCCCTGCCCGATTCCTTACAGAGTTCTCCTGCCAGTCCTATGAGTTTGCCTGTGCCAGCGGGGACCAGTGTATCAGCTCCTATTATCGTTGTGATGGCGTGTCCGACTGCAGGGACCATTCAGATGAACAAGGCTGTCGTATGTTAACTAAATGAGCATACATACAAATTCGTTGCTGGTCAGATGTTCCCTCATTGGCATGAATGTCACATAATTTAGATGCATCTGTTTGTTCTTCTAGGTTGAAATGGTAATACAACAGATAAAATCAATTGACTGAGTGAACCTCTGATTTACACCAGTTCAGATTTATGCTTATGAGATGAAACCGATAACATATATATCTACTAATCTTTGATTAGTTAGAGATCTTTTATAGCTATAAACAAGACACTGGCTTTGTAGCTGGATATTTGACTATAACTAAATGGCATAGGTTACTGAAGAGCGCCATACATTTTCAAGATTTAAAATTGAGGTAAAGTCTTTCAGAAGGGCATTAAAAAAGCCTTTATAAAATATTGTGGCCATGTTCTCCTGAAACACCTGGTTGTGTCCAACTGTCAACCATCTGACTCAAACTATCATGGTTGGCAAAAAAAAAAATTGTAATAAAGATCAGGAAGAGCCAATTGACCATCAAGGTTCAAGCTGATAACTAGCTAAAAAAAGTTAAATTTCTCTGCAACTTGTTAGAAGACATTTATCCATGTACTAGACCCTCTTACGTTTTGGCAATATAGTAAAATTCAAACCTTTGATTTTTTTAATGTTTGAGATTATTTTTTGTATAGCAGTATTGTACTGCCGTTTTCCTTGACGAAGATGGTTCCCAAGTCATGGACAGCTTGTCCAACCTTTATAAAAAAAAATGTATAGCTAAAATATATTGGAAGCTTAAAATGAACGGCATTCATTTCTATGACAACCGGATGCAAATTTCTGACGAACACTGTTCATTAATTAAATCAGCTATACTGGGGATTAATGCTCAGATTGTAACATTCTGCTTTGGGGACCTGCAGCAACTCCAGGACCAGGCCTTTGCCACGACGATGAGTTTCAGTGCCAGGCCGATGGTTTTTGCATACCAGATGAATGGGAGTGTGATGGCCATCCGGACTGCGAGGATGGGTCTGATGAACACAACACATGCCCTGCTGTCACCTGCAGGTCCAACTACTTCCAGTGCACCAATAAAATGTGCATCCCAACGAGCTGGTTGTGCGACGGAGAAAATGATTGTCGGGACATGAGTGATGAACAGAACTGTCCGACGCCTCCCTTCAGCTGCCCCTCTGGACAGTGGCTTTGCCCTACCGACCAGGTCTGTATTGACTTGGACAAGGTGTGCAATGGCCAAAGAGACTGTCCTGATGGAGCAGATGAGTCACCAATCTGCAGTAAGTTTCTTTTTGTTGTGTTTTCAGTCTATGCCCCACTAAAACATATTCAAATTAGTCTGAAATACAGTGAACTGAAATAAATACAAATCTGTGATACATTCTAAATTCTAACATACTCCTTTATAGATGCAGATGATTGTGCGCTGAACAATGGAGGCTGCAGTGACGACTGTATCCAGGGACCATTTGGAGCTGAGTGCACCTGCCCACCAGGGTTTCAGCTCCTTAATGACTCTAAGACGTGTGACGATATCAACGAGTGCCTGATACCTGGTTTCTGCAGCCAGCAGTGCTACAATGAGAGAGGAAGCTTCAGGTGCCATTGTTCAGACGGTTACCTCTTGGAGCCCGATGGACGCACATGCAAAGCTACAGGTAAAAAATCTAAAAGATGCTAAAATTATGTGATGACAAAGTAAATTGAGTAATTCTAGATGATGGTCAGTGTACAGAATACATGCCGATTTTTGTATTTTTTTTATAATGAAAAATAAAGTTAAGAGAAATGAAGACTTTATTTAAATAAAACATATTTTGTTCTTTTTATACTTAGTTTTTCTCCCTTTTCATTTTTATTCTGTTTTATTTTCAAACATATCACATCACTCATTTAAATTCTATGATATTATATTAAATTATTTGATTTGACTTGAACAAGATTTAATTTTTATGTTTATTTATTTTCAATTTTTACTTTATCATAAATAATTTTCAATTTTTAAATAGCACTTTGAAATCAAAACTGAAATATAATATTTTGTTTAAATAAACTAGTTATATATATCTATGTATATATCTATTTTATAATCTGTACAAAGTTTTTTTATAGTTGTTTTCATAAAAAATTGCCTTAAATTTGTGTTATAGAGTAGATAATCATCTCCTTTAGCAGAGCTTTGGATTCAATACACTAAACCATAACTCATCATTTTACCTTGCCTTTAGACCGACATACTGCTATGCTTTTGGTTGCAAAGCGCAGCCAGATCATGGTCAACAGGATCGCCATGAGACCCCCAGTGATCTATCCAGTAGCCACCGGTTCGAACATCGTGACTGTGGATTTTGACCGTGAGACTTACAGAATTTACTGGGCTGATGCCATACAGAAAAAGATTTGGAGCGCTTTTCAAAATGGTACAGAAAAACGAGAGGTATGTAAGATGGGCAAAAAAAACAACTGTTAAGTTGTCTACATAGTTAATGATCACATGTATATTTACAAAATTATTTTTCAATTATTTGCTAATGTTTCTCTGGTTTAGGTGTTTTCCAGTGGTTTGTTGGTACCAGAGACAATTGCTGTCGACTGGGTGGGTCGGAACCTTTATTGGACTGACTCTGAACAGGAAAACATTGAGGTCTCCACTCTTGATGGTCAATATCGGAAGATCCTCTTAAGCAGCAATATAACCAGCCCCCGTGGACTTGTTTTAGATCCACGCAACCAGTAAGCACATGTTTTTTATTTATTTATTTATTTTTTTTAAATCACTTGTCATCTTGATTTTGAGAACCCTCTACAGCATTCCTGACAGAACTTTCTCTATGAATAATGTTTATTGCAGCACTTACCTGATGTTTTGGTCTGACTGGGGTCAGAACCCCAGAATAGAGCGAGCAAGCATGGATGGAGCCCATAGACAAGTCATTGTCAGCACAAAGGTCTACTGGCCCAATGGTCTGGCCCTTGACTACACCACACGCAAAGTCTACTTTGCAGATGCTTACCTGAAATATATTGACTACTGTGACTATGATGGCAAAAACCGTTATCAGGTCATGGCGAGTGAGATGGTATGTTCAATTTAATTAGAGAATGTTAGAAAAGATTGAAGTCATCATAAACGTCTTTTAAAATATGTGGATGGATGCTTTAGCTTCTCCAGCACCCACACGGTATGACGATATTTGAGGACAGCATCTACTGGTCAGAGCGCTACACCAGCAAGGTGATGAGCACCAACAAGTTTCATGGCGGAAACATCACGACTCTTTTCAACAATATCTACCAGCCAATGGGTATTGTTATAGACCATCCACTCAAACAACCAGCAGGTGTGTACCTAATATAGGTAATCATAACATCTAGGAGAAGTTTGATCCCAATAATGGTTTTGCAATGCCCTTTTGTTTTTAGCCATCAACCCTTGCAGAGAGCACCTTTGCACACAATTGTGCCTGCTGTCCACCCTGAGGCCGAGGTACTACACCTGCCACTGTCAGTCTGGTTGGAAGCTGGATACAGACCAACGCACCTGCATCAAAGGCAGGTTTCAGACATGCAATTTCATTGTCCAGTTTTTTTTTATCACATCTGACAAGTATTATATTATACCACCGAGTATATAATATGCCTTATGTTAGAGTGAATATGTCTCTACAACTTGAAAATATATTTTCTTGACATGTATGCCCAGAGGTGTTATGTTACTAAGTATAGTTCAGTAGTATTTATATTTCTGATAAATTTTTTACTTCACTCACTAAAAACATCTGTACTTTCTACACCTAACTCTCCAAACTGGCTTGTTACCTCTATAAATATTGATAACATTATGAATAGTGCAGATATGATCTGTTTATTTGAAGTCCAATTTGTTTGTAGAAAACACTGATAGTAATATGGACAAGGCTCTGTGAAACATTGGCGAACATGGATCCGATTCTGAGATGCAGGACAATCCTCATCCATTCCTCCTTTATTAGGTTTCTGAATTTACTACTTGATTATTTTCAGGTTCTATTTTGATTTTAATGCTATTTGCAACTTAAGTGCTGTCAAACCAGAGCTTTAAATGTATTCAACTACATATGCAGGACTTTAGTTCAGCTCAAACTATATTATCCTGCCAAAACTAGACCAAATTAGTATTTTTCTATGTTCGCTATACCAACACAGTGAGCAAAATAGTAAAATTAAACTGTTTTCTGTGCATAGAACTTCCTTTTTTAGGAATATTGTTTTTAAAGTACTTTTTCATTATTTAAGGCAAAAACATCATATTAATTGTACACTTAAGTAACAACATAGTAGTTGTTTTTCTTTTCCTTAACTTACTGAATTTAATGAGTTATTTTACCTATATCGGAGACTGTCATTATATAGCCATCATATTTTTACGAAAGTAAAGAATTTTGTACCTTTGGCATCTCTGTTTAAGCCTCTGTTTTATTGTAGATGATACTCCCTTCTTGATGGTGGTCAGGGACTCTGTGATCTTTGGCATTCCTCTCGACCCAACTGACCCATCCAACAATGCCATGGCTACGATATCGGGCATTAGCAGTGGAAAAGACATTGACTATGATGACCAGGAGCAGTATGTCTACTGGGTGCAGAGCACTGTGAGTAAATATTTGATTTAACTGATTAAGTCGTGGGTGGTGTTGATATTGTACTGTGATGTACAAGTTTGGGGATCCTTTAAGAACCTAAGCATACACAATGATTCAGTTGCATGTAAAGAGTATCTATAGCACCAAAGACTCATTAGTAGTTACAAATTTGTGACTGTTGCAGATTTTTTGCCTTTTTTTAAACCAGGGTCCCATCCATGATCCATTTTTGACACTTTTAGACATTGAACATATCTTCAAATTATGTTCTAGACCACTCAGGTATAAAGCACTTTTTCTGTGCAAAGCAATTGCTATATGGTGACTCATATTACAGAAAACCTTTTTTAACAATCTACCCATTCAGCCTTTTTCCAACAAGAGTTGGTATTTAAACTACCACCTTAGGCTGAAATTCTCCGAACATTGCAGAGATTAGGGAAAATATCTTTGAGCATTTGCCCCTGGGAAGATTTATAACAAACTTAAAGATTTTTCCAATTGAGAATAATATTTATCTCTTTAGCATAAGAGACCTTACATTGTTTTGAGTTGACTTCTTAACCTGCCTTGATTGATAAACAGAATAATTCTTTTTAATAATTCTTTCTATAAGTTTTTGCTGATATCTTTTCACTTTAACAATATGTTAACTTACATCTATTTGTCATAAAGCATAAAAAATTTAAGTCCAGCTTATACTGAGGTGACTATACTCACTGGTAAATGAAATGCATTTGATAATCAGCACCTGTTTTGTTCCCATCTAAATCCATCCAACAACGTGAATGTGTTTGTGTCGTCTAATATACTGAACATCCTAAAAATGCATTTTTCTTCATAATGTAAATAAAGAAAAATGCCCTTATTTGCAAATCTTTGTGAGCAGATCATTGTCAGCAGTCTTATACGTTTACAGTCTGATTTAACGCTTTAAATAAAGTTCTGTAATTTTAAGATGCTTTTTTTGATCTTTTATTTCCTTCTGTTTGTAGGGTTCAATTTGGAGAATCAAAACCAACGGCAGTGACAGAGCTCAGTTCGCCCCGAATGCTTACATGGGTTCGCCATCTGGTCTTGCCTTTGATTGGATAAGCCGAATAATGTATTACACTAATCCCACAAGTCGGACCATTGAAGTGAGGGCTTTTTGTTTTTATAGTATTGAATACTGGTCACTGCACATTGTCAGAACTTGTCCTAGATGACTCGCTAATCAAAATGTAACATTTAAAACCATAATTATGAAGAATAATGACATAAAGCTTTTTTGTGAATTATCTTAGCCCTTGGATGATTTTTGTCCATAGTAGATGTTTTAAGTTTGCAGTTATACAATTAAATAAATAAAACTGTTTTTATTAGGTTATCCGTGTAGATGGGACTGAGCACTACAGAAAGACACTAATCGCCTCAAATGGAAAACCAGAAGGAACAGGAGAGCCTTTCGGAATAGCACTGGATCCAGCTCGAGGGTAAAGCACCTATTCACAAAAGAGAAAAAACAAAACAAAAAGAAGAACAAGGAAGCTACAGTGTAAATTTAACATGATAGTTTCTTAGGGATTTCTGAAATAACTCTGCTCACACATGTCTCCCTCTTAAGGAAACTTTTTTGGACAGACAAAGGGTCGGATTCTGGTGTTCCTCCAAAGGTTGGCAGTGCTGATATGGATGGAGGAAACCTGAAGAACCTTTACACGGGGAACCTGGCAAACATTGGGGCTATCGCTGCCGATATTTCAACCATGAAACTGTACTGGGGAGTGTCAGGGTCAGGGATGGTACGTAGAAGGCCAACCCAAAACATCAACTATTACTAAGAATTCAACTATTTTACAAGACAATGCTCATATACCTATATGTCAGTCTGTCTTTTGTTTGGGTATGACTTGAATTTAAACCTTCAGCTTCTGTTTAGATGCAGTTTTGTTATAAAAATCAAATAAACCCTCTGAAAATATTGCAGTTCCTTCATATTTAATTGCATTAAAAAATTTTGATAAACATAGCAAAAGACTTGCCACCCTTTTGTTGTACTATTGTAAATTGTAGACCTTAACTCCCACCAGTTCCCCGGCGCATCGTTTTGTATATTTAGAACGAATACAGAAGTATGCTTGAAAATAATACCAGTTAAACTTTTACCAATATAGACATGTTATACATTCAAGTGCCAAGTTCACTTTAAATACTCTAAATCACAATTAATAAAGATATAGCAGCATGTTAAATCAGACTTCCAACATTTGAAGCGTTCCTGAGCCCATATTATAAATCCAATCTTAGATTGTCTATATTCCATTTGTCCGTAAGGGTCCACAAATAAAAAGTAATCCAGCTTATTTGCAATAAAAAATTTCCATGACGAGAAAATCACCACATAAAGTCAACTTTTTACCATCAGAAAAGTTTGATCCTTATAGCTAATGCTAACCGTTGTGTCAATTACCCTGGTTTCCACAAATATTTTCTGGTCAATGCTGGGTATGTTTTTTTTCCTCACCTTCCATCTTACCAAAACTAAATTG